CGAGCATGTGAGACTCCTTCTGGGGGGCTGTTTGGGCCGGGGGGGCGGTGTCTGAGGGGCTGGGAGCTGTTTGAGGGGGAGCTGCCCCCTCCTACAGCCCAGCCCCTGTGCTCCCAGGAGCCAGTGACTTTCGAGGACATCGCGGTGCACTTCAGCAGGCAGGAGTGGGCAAGCCTGGACGATGGGCAGAAGGAGCTGTACAGGACCGTGATGGAAGGCAACTACGAGATGCTGGTGTCCCTGTGTAGGCTCTGTTTGCACTGGTTTGGCAGTTGCCGTTGCTGCCCGGGGAGCTCTCTCAGGGTTACTTTTCTGCGTCTTTGCGTTTCACTGGGATCTACAGTCCTCAGATGATCCACTCGATTCCCTGTCCCTTCTCTCTGGCAGGTCGGAGGTTGGCAGGTACACGCAGGAGGGGTAGTAAGTGCTCAGTGTCTTCTCCTCTTGGAGAACAGGTACGCTGAGCTCCCCGGGCTGTCATCACAGAAATTCCCTCTTTTCACCACAGAAATTCCTGCTTCCATATCTCTCTAGATCCTCATGTGGTTTCCCGTCAGTGTGGCAGATGTGCTGTCCATTTGCCTGGTGTGGGAAGCGAGGCTGGTCGCACTCCCTCGTTGCAGAGGGAGAGCTAGGCGGGGGAGATGATCTCATGGGGCAGCACTTGGGCTGCCTCTGGCTCGATTTTCAAATGTGTGGCCCTCGCAGGTGGAAATGAGCTTTCCAAAAAGTCCGGTTGGACTCAATCTTAAAGGTCTTTTCCATCCTAAACAATGCTATGACACCCTGCTTAGCACACCTAGAGCCTTGTGGTTGTAATTAATTCTTTCTGGTGCTCAGGTGATGGAGCGGGAGCCTGGACTTCCCAGCCAGGGCCACCCTCTCATGCCATGGGAGTCCCCTGCAAGCACAGCCTGAGGAGCCAGAGCAAAAGTGCTGAGGAAGGAGTTGAGGGGCGAGCGTAATCCCAGATCAGGGCAGGAAACTCCTGCCTTCCCCTCGCAGTGCCTCTTGTCGAAGTGGGGCGAGTCAGCCGTTCATCCTCACCCAGCATTGCGCGTTCCAGCTGGCTGAGCTCCTGGCTGGTGAGGAGCAGCAGTACTGATACGTGGTGGTTTGGAGCAGAGACAGGTAGCGAGGCAGGCTGCGGAGCTGTGGGGAGGTGTACCCACTCTAATACTCAAATCAAGAGCCTTACAATTCTCTTATGTGCTTCACAGCATTTTCCTATCTGTAAGATGAATTTCTGGGCGAAGGGGTGGTTTCTGTAGCAGGGATTTCCCCCCTGTGGAGCAAGGATGGATTTTCTTGCAGTTGTTGCTGGGGGAGTTGTCAGACATGCCAGAGGATGCTTTTCATATTCTCCTCTAGAAGTGCTGCCTGCTGGTCCCTATCTGCCTGTAACTCCCAATGTGCCACTGGCACTGACCCGGCCCTGGTGGGAGATGAAGTTTTTCTGGGCTGGGACTGACTCTGTGCTGACAGGCTGTGGGCGCACCCTCAAAGACGCTGTGGCATCTTGCCTCTGATGTCTGTCTTGCTCTTGAACAGACTGTGCCCTATCCAAACCTGAACTCTTATCTCGGATCGAAAGAGCAGAAGAGCTGTGCACACTGGCGGAGTCAGACCTGGAAGAAGCAAACATATCTCTGCAGCCAGCCGTAGGTGTGTGACACTGGGTTTCTTCTGTGCCAGGATTCTGGCTCCTGGCCGCTTACTGGGACGATTGTGGTCCCTGCCCTCAGCCACAGGGACTGAGGTGTCTCCTGCGATGGCTATAGACAGCCTGTGCTGGGAGAGGACACAGGGAACGTGCTGGGACACATCGATAGCCTGGTCACCCTCCCCTGACCCAGCAGCTGCTGTGTGCTGCTGCAAAGATCCTGATCCCCTGCAGGCCTGGGAGGGGGCACCCCCACCCCTGTGCTTGCTCCTCTGAGTTCCCAGCTGGCTGCTGGTAAAGCCAAGTGCCCTTCTCCTCCCCAGAGCTAAACTGCCCGAGCTGCGCGAGCAACAATGGTCTGCTGGAGATGACGACAAAGGAGCCTTGCGAGGGGAACTGTATGGACCCGGAGGAAAGCAGGAGCCTGGCGGTCACAGCAAACTGCAGTGCCTGTGAGTGGCTGGCAAACCCAGCTGATGCGAGGGATCTCAGGCCCCTGCCTGGCTGTATCTCACCCATCATAATCATTGCTCTTCTTGCCTTCACAGCACATGTCCCTCATGAAGCCACCGCTGTCCCAGCAGATCTCGGCCAGCCAACCCCGTCCCCTTCCTGCCCTCTTTCCAGGTGCTGTCATGAAGCGGTGAATCTGAACCGGTCTCCATTGCGTCCTCCCGCAGCAGGTACTGGGACAGAGCCCTTCATCCCTCCTTGGTGGGGCTGGCAGCCTCGAGGAGCCGCTGGCACACTCGGAGGGCAGCAGGAAGTTTGCACAGGGCTCTCTCTGGGCCTGGGGCTTTCAAGACAGGATTTTACATGATTCAGACAGGCCAAGAAAGGGTTCTGGCAGTAAATCCTGTTGCCAGCCTTGAAACTGTAAAGGATGAGGCATGGCACGGTGTGAACCAGCCCACCCAGTTGATTTGCTTCGAAGGACGAGCCCTGATGTTTCTATTAGACCCCCCATCCTACCTAGGTGACATTTGTCATCTCAAACCACCCTTGGGGTGTCTGCAGGGATGAGCTGTAGCTGTGCCCGGTCTTCGTGCAGTCCAGGTGTGAAGACGTTGAGCTGGAAGAGGAGAGCGGGCTGAGATTTGTGCTGGCTGCTGGCTGGGGAGGGTGTGGGAGGCAAGGGGGGGGTGGGAGGAAAGCCCTTTGCTCTTTATGCCTTGTCCTCAAAACCACATGGAAGAGTGATGTTTGGGTTCTGAAAAATTCCCAGCAGATGCCGAGGTGGGGATCCCAGTGGAGGTACCGCAGGAGGAGGTTGCTGCGGAGAAGCTGGCAGTGCCTGAAACACCCCTGGAAGAGGGGGACGTGAAAGATTCAGGGAATGGTGGCCAAGGTCTGGCAGCAGACGTTCCCAAAGAACTGGGTAAGAAGGCGATACCAGATGTCTGCAGAGCAACGGCACAGGCAGATCCCAGCTGCGCGGTCGCCGCCCCGGGAGAGGCCATGGACGGCTCCTGCACGGGCCGGACTGCGGCCTGCCAGCGAAATTCCACCCGGGAGAAATTCTATTCCTGCCCCGTGTGCAGGAAGAACTTTCTGCTGAAGATCAACCTCATCATTCATGAGCGGAGCCACAGCAACTGGGTGCCTTACATCTGCGTGCACTGCAACCGCAACTTCATGTCCAAGAAGAAAATCCGGCGTCACCTACGGGCGCGAGCGGCTAAGGGGTTTTGCCAGTCCTTGGAGGCGGAGGAGCGCTCCGGCCGGGCCCAGTGCCCTGCCTCCCAGTCCCGACCCCTGAGCAGGGACCACAGCACGGTGTGGGGGAAGCCCAGCCCCAAGAGATACCCGCTGTCACCTGGGAAAATGATGTATACGTGCAACGAATGCATGGAAAGGTTCTCCAGCCAGAGCTTTCTGATCCTGCACCAGCGACAACACACTAGCCACCAACTCATTCTCTGTCCCTGCTGCAACAGGAGCTTCGCGTGGGTCTCTGAGTTTGTCCGCTACCACCGGTCCCACACGGGCGAGCGGCCCTACCAGTGCGGCGTGTGCCAGAAGACTTTCAAGCGGCACAACCACCTGATCGTGCACCAGAGGATCCACATGCGGCAGGGGAGGCCGTACCCCTGCGGGGACCAGCTGCCCGTGCCACCGGCACACATTTAGGCGCGGACGCAGAGGCGTGAAGCGGGAAGCATAGTAGAAGAGGGGTTGGGAAGCTGGGAGGTGTCCTCCCCGGGGACAGGAGACTCCCGTCGGACCTTCTCCTTTCCCTCTTTGACCGCGGATGTGAGCGAGTCTGATGAAGGCTGGAACACGGGCAGCGTCGCCCAGTTTTTCCTGCCCTGCTGCGGGGACGGCGGGCGCCCAGCCCTGCCCGTGCAGACCCTTGGTGTGCGGGTCGCTCCTTGTTCTCGAAGCCCCGGTGGGACGGGTGGGACACCGGGAGCGGGTGCTGCTGCGGTGGAGGACTCGTCCCTTTTCTGGAGAGCGCGCCAATTAGATGCCATAGAAATAAGGATGCTTTCCGTGGCTGAACGTGGCTTCCTCTGGCTCCGGGGGGAGGTGGGTGTGGGGGGGCCCCCTGCCGTGCCTGGCCGTCCCCGGCGAGCGCTGCGCGGGGGGGGTGGGGGGGTACCAGGAATGCCGGGGGGGGGGTGGGGGG